GTGTGGGTTTTTGTGTGTGTGTGTGTTTGTGTGTGTCTTTCCTCTTGATGGAGCTTGGCTAACAGTTTCCACCTGCTTCCAGTCTTTGTGCTAAGCTAAGCTAAACAAGTTGAACTGGTGAACACCGGCGGTCACATGGTAGAAAAATACTGATGTCAAATCAGGAGAGTCCTGTATGCTTTGGAACTACACTTCCCATGATGCTTTGGGGTGCTTTAGCCAATATTCAGTCTCCATTAAAAGTCTCCTGTATTAGCTATTAGCAGTTCCTGTTTACTCTGTACGGAAGCCCAGAGCCGCCAAGGTTGCAATATTTATTTTAATGACGTTATCTCCAGACAAGCACTGTTACCTCGAGATAACGAGATAATCAATTAAATTAAAATAATCAATCTTATTACTTTTAATGTTTATCAGAGATTAGCATGCATAGCTAGCATTTGGTTCAACACAGAAGACGCAGAAGTTTATGAAAATAATCTTAACAAGTTTGTTTTTGTTTTTTGTTTCTGTGTTTGTGTTTTTTGTATGTTTGTTTATTTTCTGTCCTTATTTCTTTCTGTGTTAACTTTTAAATGTCAGCTCGGCTACTTTCAGCTTCACAGAAGAGATTTTATAAGACAAAGAGAATTTAAAAAGAGGACAAGATTTGAATAATATTCAATAAAATAAAATAAATAATTATCTTAAATTAACTCAGTTTTACATTTTGATTCCAACCCTTCACTTCAGTTATGAAACCTTAAGATTATAATTATCTCGTTATCTTAAGAAAACAAAATGTTTTCACAAAATATTGTTTTTCCTGATTAATTATCACCTTTTTTTCTCAAGATAACGAGAAAAATGTACTTGTGATCCTGACAAAACGGCTTTAAAAGTAAATAAAATAATAAAAACATAACTATTGTGAGCATGGCTGCTTTAGGCTTCCGTACTTTCATACTGAAGGAAACATTTATCCTCTTTTTTCTAAGTGGATATATGGAGGTTTATTGTGGACGGACTTCAGAGATAAAGGTATGGTCAGGAAGCGTCAGTCACACTGAATCTAAAGAGATGAGCTTCCTGTCTGTGTGCTTAGAGCTGATTGAGTTATTGATCCGAGAAGCAGTCAATCAAATATATATATATGTATATTTCCAACCACATGACCTCTAGTAGCCTCCGTATTGTGACAAACAGGAAGAGAGGAATGTTCCTTCAGATTAAAGCTCCACCGATCTCATGGACAGGTGTGTGTGTGACATCACAGCCGGCAGGTGTGACATCACAGTCGGCAGGTGTGTGCATGCAGGTGGATTTATGTAACAACATGGCCGACACTGGTTGCAGCCCTTTAGTTCACTGTTCAGCTGCCGAGAATGAGATAGAGACCGAGCTCCCGTTTCCCAAACAGACCTCAGACCAGATCGACCAATCACAGAGCTCGTTTACAGTCAGGTGGGAATGTATGGAAGCCCGTTTCTCCAGTTTCTGAAATCTGAACCTTGAGATTAATTATGAGATAAAAAGTCACTTAGCATATTTTTATTTGAATTATTAAGGTTAAGTTTTAATTTTGTTTTTTTATTTACTGGCGGGAAATTACTTTTTATCTCATAATTTTGAGTTTGGGGTTTTATTTATTTTTTTATTTTTTTACTGGCCAAAATGGGCTTCCATATGATTCAGATGCAGGTAAGGAAGTGAAAAGCAGGATGGATGAGATGGAGTAAAGTTATAGTTATATTATAAATATGTGTTGGACGTGATGAAGAGGAGACATTTTTAAACTAATTATATGTCGTTATGTTAAATTCACCAGACTCCATTCATTAAAAACAGCCATTTTACCTCTCAGAGTTCTGTACACAAACTGTCATGGCTGTGGCTGTTTTCTTGTGTTTCCCCCTCGCTTGTGCCAGCCAGCCAGCCAGCCA